GGAGGGCCACCAAGCTTACAGGGCTGAAGAACCCAACACATGAAGGATGAAGGAACTGGCTTTGCTAAACTTAGAAAAGAGCAGGCTTTGGGTGGGAGGGAGGATCTAACTACAGTCTTCCCCTACACCTATCAGGTAGTTTTAGAGAAGGCAGAGCTGCTCTCTTCACAAGGGTGTGCAGTAAAAACACAAGAAGCCATGGGCCACAAGCTGCTTCAGAGGGTTTTTGTTTTGCTATAAGAAAAAAACATTTTCCATAAGAACAATCAAATATTGGAAGAAGTTTCCCAGATAAGTACGGACTTTCCCTCACAGGCAATATTCAAGTTTTAGCTTAGTTACCTTATCTAGGTTCCTGCTTTCATCAGAACCTTGCACCAAACAACCCTCAGAGGTACCTTCCAATACAGATCACTACACGATTCCCTCTGTGACACTACAGCTCCCATATTTTAAACTAGAATCTGTCACAAACATAGAAATGATTTAGAAAAAAAAAAAGCACAGCTGTTTTGCTTGACCACTGCACTGTTACAATTCCACTCATGTCAACAGATAACAGATCTGTACACACACCAGTGCGGCACATTCCTCTCCACTTCTCTTCCTACTTCCTTACTATACGAAGTTGGCCATTTTACACAGCTGCTGAATCCCAACCTCCTGAAGCCCCCACAAAAAGAAGCTATTTGCTTCACATGTCTGGAAGGCTCCAACACAGAACCATGTCACAACCTGCCATAATGCTATTCACATAATTTATTTCTAAAAAAATATGTCATGCAGTGCAGTTTCTTAAAAGCAATAAATAAACAAATAGCTTTTTAAAAATCAGCTTTCACAAAATCACAGGGGTTGGAAGGGAGCTAAAGAGGCCATCAAGTCCAACTCCCTGCAAAGGCAGGTACCCTGCAGTAAGCCATACAGGTAGGCATCCAGACAGGTCTTGAATATCTCCACAGAAGGAGACTCTACAAAACCAAATCCCTATGGCCCAAACATTTATTAAGCCATGTTTGCTACAAATGCCCTAGCCCTATCCTTACACTACGGTACTCATTTTTATCTATACCAGAAGTAATTATATTCTTCCTAAAATCGTATTTGTAAACTATAAGGTCAGATTTTATATTACAGCTATCAAAATAGCCCTCTGTTACTCTTAAGCATTTCCAAACTCATCCACAAATGCCTCTGTGTGATCCAAACTCATGTGTGATGTGGAACATCCCAATTGCTTTCACTTCCATATAAAAGTTTACCATTCGAGGGCTGGATACAAAATGAGTGACTATGGGAGTTTAGGATAAATTGGTATAAATATTTTACAGACACTGTTTCCAAACACTCCTATTGGTGGATCATTTAAAACAAAAACAAAAAACAACCACTGTATCACTAAGTGTTGGACATGTAACTGATTTCTGGAACTCAGCTTTCAGAGTAGGCCTGAAAGCAGTTTCGTTAGCATTCTTCTTTCTATTTCAGACTCATAAATTTTAAGTAGTTAGCAAGAAGAAAGCTCCATGACATTCATTATCAAAGAAAAAAAACAAAAGTGCTGCTGAATTGATGTTATACCTTGTTTTTAACCTTGCTTCTTACTTTGCACAGGTGGTTCACAAAGAAAATACATACCTATGGTAGAGCCTGAAGAACTAACCCAACTATGTGACTTAACTCTTTTAGAAGAATGATAATAAGGGCCTACTGTTTCCAACTTTAAGAACATGTATCTACTTCTTTGTTTAAAAACTGCACTTGCTTCACTCACTTAGCACGCATCCATAAGTAAAAGAGGGGAGTTTCATGATTCTGCTCCAGGTTCAAACTATGTTGCCATGGAAGCAGATGTTGGATTGATGAAAATAGGTCAACTGTTCAAAAAGGAAAATCACTGTTCTAATACTTCAATATTATTAAATGCTATTATTTTGATGCTTAGTATTATTTATTATCAACTGCATATTGATTTATTGTATTTAATTAGCACTTGTGTTGATGATATAATATGTATGCCCATAAAATGTAGGTAGCAGTAGATTTAGCGTTGTTAATAAATTATTTTGCACAAACCTGTAGGAGCTTGATATAGAATGCTTAAGAGAGTATCAAACATTCCTCTTCACATCTGTGCTAAATGATGTCAAATCTTGCCACGTAAACACATTTTCATTTGAAATAATATCAGTACCATTGTTAGAAAACACTAACACTTTTAGGAATAACAAAATAATAAAATAAAATTCAGGTCACTGTTCCCATCTATGCTTTGCTTGGTAGAACAACACTTTCTCTGTTTAGCTTTGCATCAAACCAGGTATAAATTTTCAACTGGAGTCTCAATGACTTAAACCCGATAAAAACATTTAACGACAGCTAAGATTTAAGTAGGTTACCCCATCCACTGAACACGTGAAAGGATACATAACCTACAAAAGTAAGTTTCTTGTATTCCTTAACATTTTCACACTGCCTGCCAAACCGTTGTCAACAGAGCACAAATACACCGTAGAATTCTCACCTCCATCTGCAGCACACACCAGAAAGTAAAGTAACTATCATTCTTCTGCACAAAATCTCTACTAAGTGATCTAAAAAGCTCTTCTGTTGACAACCTGACACATGCAACAGAATTTTTTCCTACCCTGACACTGATGTGCTTAAAAAGCACCAGGTTTGTATTAGAGGCTTTGTGTAATGTACTCAGTTTCTGCATTGTTTTTACAAGTAATATGCACAACAATCATCAATAAATACAGCAAAGGTGTGTGGGAATAGTGTCAATAACATCAGATTTGTGGTGCTTTCCTAGGTTAGGTATCTTCCTCTAGATGAAGCAAGATTTACAGGAGAGAATCTGTGGTGCTGAGTTCCACAAATTTAATCCAGCAGAAACCTACACCACTGCTATAAAGAGCAACACTGCCTTCCATACAGAACTGTTTCTGCCCTTCTCCCTTTCACCAGTGAACCAGATCAGACAGCTTCTGTCAAATCAGTTCCCTGATCTGATTCATCATGCACCAGATAAAAGAAAATGCCAGTGTAACAGATAAAATAGATTCCCAGGAAGATAAGGCAAAAATACACCATACTCCTTAAGCTACCAAAAAATCATGCTGCTGATGAAACTGACTGCAGTCCCACAGCATCTAGTCATTCTCCCTTCCTTCCTTTATCTTTTGATCTCAGTGTTCTAACTTGAAATACCTTCAATGCAAATACTGTTAAAAATTATTATTGTAACTGAGAACACATCTGTCTACACAATGGAAGCTGCCTTCAACAGAAGGAAAAATTATTCTTGTTGGATTCACTGCTGTAATTTTACATATAGAAATAGATATTTAGGATGTCTTTCACTTTGGAGAACTCTTCCAAACGCTCTGTATCTGGTGTTACAGAACTTCTTGCAGAACTGAATGACCCGCGCTACTCTGACTCTTCAGAAAACAAAGCTGTGAAGGTGTGAAATTCTGATTCAAGAACACTGCAGTTCTGTCCCTCAAAGACTGCAAAAGTATTAAATTTCAAATGCAACAGTTTGGGAATTGTTTATAACCAACAAAATTTAAAAAGTCACATGGCTTGTTAGGCTGCAGATTTCTTTTGTCTGGAATTTCTCAGACAATGAGTAGTTTATAACAACACAGAAACGGCAGAAGAAATTAAACCAGCACACTTTGAAGTATTAAGCACACTGGGCACTTATGATTAAGCCATTTTTTAAAAATATATCTTTTATAACAAGTACACTATGAAGTACTAATAAGGAAGTGAAAAGTTGACTGCTCTATGACCAAATAGCTGCCTTTCCTCTCTGGGTCACCTAGCATTGCCCTCCATTTGTCCATTCATACAGTGTAGTTTGCTCTAGATGAGCAGCCTTGTCCAAATTGTTTCTTCATATAAAAGAACATTCTTGCCATTTCTCCTTTCAGGATTCATTTATTTTTCCAAACTCTTCCTTTCATTTATTCCTGTATTTGTTTTACTCTCCTTTCCATATGGTTTATAGATAATGTGTTTGAGATGCACTGTTTAAAAGAAATTCCAAGAGCTACCTAATTAAAGCACAGGAATTGCACAACGGTACAGAATCACAGACAGGCAGAATTCAAATTGAGAGAGAAAAAATGCTGGTATTCTCCTATGGCCTATCAAGAGACAGAGGCCTCCTCAGAGACCAAATGGACATTAAAAACTTCACTCTGGTTACATTTAGCCACATAGTTTTTGTAACATAACCTCTCCAGTTATACCATCTAAATGCTGCATTTAAATTGTCAAATTAGTTTTACATTCAAACATTTCACTAAGGCTAATGCAAATGTTCACACATGCATAATAGAAAAATGCATCAGGTTATAGGTAGACTCAAACTTCAGTAAACCAGTTGACGTGTGATTAAGATCTAGAGTTAACTGCAAACTTTAAGCAAGCACATAATTTACTGCATAACCCACAACATCTGTAACAACAACACAGAAGTAATATAGAGGCTATACCTCTACAAGGCAATTCAACAACTATACACAAACACAAAAAACCCCTATATTCCTGGAAATTAGAATAACATCATTTTTAAATTGGAATAATAGAAAGGTACATAAGGACAATGATCTACAATCTGTTAAGATGTAAAATGACCAGTCATTTGCCTGAAAAGAAACTCAAGTACATAGAATCAGGAAAACATAAAACTCAGATGGTCTTACAATCACTCGTACTTAGTCCTTCTACATACTTGTTTCAGATAAGTCATTATGGGAAACATTCATAAAGATGAAGAACGTATTGCAAAAGTGAAGCAGCAACATTCACAGTACAGGAAAACACAGAAAATAAAAAGCAAGGTTTTAACACTTTGCAGGGAAAACTCTTAAGTCCTTTTAAAATAAGCAGATTTTTATCTACTTACTGGTATAATTTCCACTGTTCTTCATGTTGTTTCCTATTAAAACATATATCTGAACTCTATTTGAAGTCAGACTTACCTCTACCAGTGCCACAGTCAGAACAAGATCCATTTTTGAGTCTGGGAAAAGGGCATTCACTTGTGGAGACATTCCAATCAGTATGCAGTTAGTAACTACTGATATTACACTCATAGTTTCAAAAGCCAACTGAAATAAGACACAAACACATTCACAGTTATGACCATTATCTCGGATTTACTCCCAAAGTGCTCTACAAAATTTCTCCCTCCCTCTCCATGAAATCCTCAGAAGAGTCATCACTTTTTTTTTTTTTTCCTCTCCATCTTTTGACTTCCATAATGTAGACTAGCTTGGCAAGTCATCTACACTATGTCAACCATAAAAACAGGCAACAACACAACCACAACAAGGTTTGTAATACCACAGAGCACACCTGGCAACCCTGAATTTTTCTGTAATTTAATGCATCTGTGTGTGTATGTGTATTTAAAGACCAGTAACATCCTAGATGGAGGCAATATCAAATCACCTCCTGAAAGAATTCAGAATAATCCTCAAGGAAAAAAAGAAATTAAACAAAAAACATGGTCAGGAAAGCAATCTTAACCTTGGTATCTTCATGACTCAATGTGAACACACAAAAGACTGTGTATCCTTCTACTCTTGAACACACATTTCTTCCAAAATAAAAGAAAAAAGGCAAAACTAGAGGAACTAACAGTCCCAGCACTCTGGCTTTGTTTCGTCCTTATGCTAAGCGATCAGAAAACTGTGGTTCAGAACCTTTCTAAAATAGCAATCCGTTTTTCAAGATGAATGTAGCTGTTGGATTTGTTGAAAGAAAGGTTTACATGTAAACATGTGAGTCTGAGGAGCTCTTGTATATAGAGTTCCCACAAAATGCCTGAAAATACAGTATGACAACTGTTTTTGCAATGCAGTGATTACTCATTCCTCTTGAATGAGAAAAGCTGAAATGGAAATGTAGCAATTATCACAATGAATTAGCAGAAGTAACTTTCTTCTTGACAGTAAGCTGTTGATTCAGCTCCCATGATAAAATAATTCCAGTATTTCTTTAACAGAAATATTTCAGCCAATGCTCTAACTTCCCATGTAAAATAGATTGCTAACATCAAATTAAACAAACTACTACTCTATTCTGTCCTCTGTCTTCACCACGCATCAACAGAAAACTTAAACTAGAATGCAGATCATCTCCTAGACCTTTCCTCCAGCCTACTTCACATTGCTGTTACAGAAAACTTACATCTTTGGATACAACTGGCCATTCTTTCTACCAGTAACACCTCTGAGTTTGGAGGAGTTCTGCAGAGTTTTTATTGGTCAGAATCAGTTTACTAATAAAGTCTACTCAGGAGGTCCCAAACTAGCTGGTGCCAGCACAAGCACATCATTAAACAACTGAGGTCAGAAAATCCTTCACCGACTTCTAGTGTGAAACCGTTTAAGTAGATTACACCTCTGTAGAAAAGTACAGCCTCTTCACACAGATCTAAGCTATTTCAAAATTAGTCAGCTTGAGTACCAGTACCCATGAGAGCACACAGCCAAGCATGACTCAGGATTCTGAGTGCTTACCTATCATTCTTCAATTTTCTGAAACTACATGAGATGAGCTCCATGCTCCTGAGATAGCCCACAGGTTACCAATTTCAGAATAATTTTGCTAGAATTACTAGGCAGTACTGTACTGGCAGCTTTGCTTTGTCAGTATTGCAACAGAATCACAACATACATACATACAAGTAGTAATGAAAGGATTTACTTTCTTTTCAAAGGCAACTGAAAATTACACATGGTTGAAAACCTAACAAAATGTACTACAGTGGGATAATATCATAGGACACTGAAGATGACAAAGTGCCTACTAAAAGTTAAAAGCAGCTGATGATGAAACACAGCTTAAATCTGCTGAAACATCATTTATAATAAATGACTAGAAAAGAAACAAAGCTTACCTGCCAAACACCAATATTTGCTGTGGGTTCTGCAAATGGACGCTTGTAGACTCTACACATCTTTAAAGCATCAGAATATATCTCTGTGATGTTGTTTAACACTGCAAAGACAGCGGCCAGCGGATAAACACACGAGAAAAGACTGACGTAGCCAAACTGTAAAAACAACTCCAAGTAATCATCAAAAGTACCCTGGAAAACAGAGGAAGAAAGGAAAAAAAAAGAGCAACTTTTACTCACAAAAAATACATGAAGATGTGGAATTAATAATACAGCTATAAACATGCTTCCTCATGTCAAATCATCTGTGTGGCAATGACCAGCATTAGGAAAAAAGACAGCCTCTCTAGTAATTTTTACAATCAAAACTTTTTAATATGGGGAGGCCAAGGTTTTTCCTTTTGCCTAATGCACTGTCTGTAACATTCACTGATCCATATTACATAAAGTATATAAGTAATTGTATAAACAGACTCACTCTAAGTTCCTGACTATTCTAGTGAAACAGCTACTGAAAGAGCAGTGTAGGACAAGAAAACAGCATCATTCATGTAACTGGCAGAACATTCTCCTCACGATGCTCTTACTAATAGGCCTACTACTTCAGACTGTCCAGGAAAGATCTAACCAGAAACATAGGTTTCAAACAGGCAACCCTTTTCTAATATTTCTGCACATCTATTTCAAATGAGTAAGTCAGAATTAATTGCCTACTTGAAGGCTAAAATGTCAAAATGCAGCACTGGCTTCTGAAAGGAACAATTAATGCAAACAAAAAGCCCTATTCTGGCAAAACTGCAATACATCTATCTCCTTGTTTTTGAATCAACAATTTGGGTACTTAAATGCTGATTAAGTATTCACATGTAGGTCTTTATACATATTTACATAGTAATTTTGTTGTATTAATAATAGTTTTCTGTGATTGCAGCAATTATTCATGAAAACGAAGAATAAACCAATAATTTCTAAAGAAAAGGGTTGATTTTGTTCAGTGTGTTCTCTGAACAAAGGGTGATGAAATATCATAAACTACTTAAACCAGGATACAGCTATTTGGTATTCATCCAGACCCACATATTTTCTTCTCTTTCAAAATGAAATAAACGAACCAACAAAACTATCGATAAAGATTTGACAGTAACTGAGATCAGGACAGGAAATCTAACATTAGTTCTGGTTCCATGCACCATAGACACAACTTTCTAACCTTTTGGCTGATGACAATTAAAGCAACTGCCACCTCTAGCACCTGGTGCTCTTGTTCTAGCAAACAGGCAGCAGAAGCCAGCAAGCTCAGAAATCAACATGGGCCTCTCATTAGCTACATTCCTCATTCAAGCGCATTTTCACATCTCACATACGAACAGGCCTGCTCTGCAGGAGAGGATTACAGGAGCTGTGTAATGTTTAGATTCAATGAGATTTTTTTCCACAGAGATTTCCTGTATGAACTCTGAATTTTAGCAAGGTCTTCCTTAGGGCCATTTGTGCAGCATCACTCACTGGAGTGGCAGTCACACATTTGTCCCTGCTATCAGTTACATGTTTCAAGCAAGGAGCAGTGTGTCACTTTATAATTCTCCCCCTGGTAACTGCACAGCACTTCCACTGCTTTCTTCTCATTTTCTTGCTCAGTACCTACCGACTTATCAGCACAGCAGTCTGAAAATAAAACGAGCATTTACTTTTCTCCTATTTGATTTACAACACTTTATGAAGGAAACATCTGACAGGATGTTAACTGTGCTATTATCACTGTTATCAACCTCCTGTTGCCCTAACTGCAGGAGCAGCACAATCTATGGCATCAAGGAAACACAATCAACAAAGCAACCTAGGATTCAAAATGAACTAGGAGAGAAACAGAAGTGAAATAAGGACTACAAGCTTTTATACCTTAAATCAGTTGAAGGGCTGGAGAGACACAAAAAGGGGGTGAGGGGAGAGGGCAAGGAGGGCAAAGAGAAATTAGAATATTAAAGGGTAAGCGAAGAAAGGAAAAGGAAAGAAAAGATCCTGAAACACAGAATTCTGCCAACACTCCTGCTGGACTCCTCAGTTACTATACATAGTCAAATGCTTCCCCCTTGTGACAGATGTAATTTCAGTAATACTCTTCTGCTGACAGCTCAACACTTAGAAACAAGTGGTCTAATACCATGTATACTATATACACAAATACAGCACAATCAAAATACTTAGATTGAAATTAAAATCTAAGGTATTGAACACACTGTGTACCAGACTGAAACTGAGGCATGAAACGGGCAACTCAAAGGCAAAGTAATAACCTCACAACTGACCTATTGTTTCCCCTTGGAAAATGATTCAAGGTATGACCACACAACAGGTGCAGGTACATCTGATCTGCAAGAGGCACTGGCCAGCAGGATTCAGACACCACACTGGCTTTGTATGTGCCAGCTCAGAACCAGAAGTCAGCTCAGCTCTAGCAGCCACAGCTTATTCTGTCAGGCAAGTCGACGCCTGCTGCCAATTCATACCCTTGGTTCTGTGCCGTTTTCAGGCTCCTTGCTGGACCATGCTGATTTACCAGTTCAGACACTAACTTGAGGATTTCTGTCGTGCTCTCCACTGTAAGACAGGTGTGCTCTGTGTCAATTTACCTCCCCATATATAAAGTGAGAAATACCAACACTCCCAGGGAAACGTTAGTACAGTTATTCAGCTGCAAAGGTAGTATTTCCATTTCCCACTTCATGGCACTCTCACATTTCAAAATAAATTTCTAACTCTGATGTTCTCTACTTCTTACATAAAAAGTACATGACCTACATCTAATTCTTACTCTGTAAAGGCATAAAGCATTAAATCCCTTGTGTCTATGCTTGCAGCATTTGATGGTACAAGCTGTCAGGCACTCTATAAGGCCTTAACATAGACACTACTGCATTTTGTCAACTCCTCTAGAACACCAAGTAATGAATTCCACAACATGTGTTAAATACAGTGAAACAAATCAACCAAATTCAAATCAAGAAGTAAAGTATGGTGGGGACAATAATATACTAAGCAAGACCTATTCCAAGAAAACTTACCAGTTTAACGTAATAAGATGATACAAATACATCTTAAAACTTTGTGGTTGGTGAGAAGGAAATCCTAAAACAACACAGGTAAAACTGATGATCTGATTCTGTGTTGTTTGTCATGTGCTTACTGACTGTGGAGCCATCAGAAACTGAGATAGGAAGACAGCACAAATGCCAAAACTGTAATTTCAAGAAGTAAAAGCTTTCAGCAGTAGTACTGGCCTAAAGAGTTGATCTCTTCTGCTTCTTAGGTTGCACTGGCTACTGTGCTCACCAATTTAACCCTTAGAGTAGTTTTATGTTGCCTTTGTGAACGATGACTGCCAAGTCCAGCACAGGAGATGGCCAGAAACACTGCTGGATTAGGAGGAGTGTAGAAGATAGCAAGTATTGCAGTTGGGCTATTCCAGGACTGCAGCACCTGTTGTGCCAGTGGGAACACTTCTGGGACCAAGCCAGAAGGTGTAAACAGGCTCCAAAGAACAAGAAATCTCTAGTGAGTGTTAGACAGAGATAGAGAAATAGAAAAGCAGAAACAGCTGACAGAGAGAATGACAAACAAAAATTGACTTCCTTAAGTAAACAGGAGTACCCAGGTCTTTCAGTAGAAGAAACATGCAGTTACATTTCTGCTGCTTGGTTGTTTGTTGGTTTTGTTTGTTTTGTAGCCCTTGTAGCTCTTACTACTAGGGCTAAAAATAATTCAAAAGACAACAGTGGAAAAAGATGACTGCTCCAAGCATAATGAAGGGCCTTTGCTCTGGACGTAGTAACCCACCTTTTTGTGTTTGGGTGATGTAACAGAGAGATCAATACAGTAAGTAGTAAGAATTCTAAGTTCCACTACATAAGAATAAAATCTAGACACCAGGGCTTCCCTTGCAAGATATAATTTGGGCACTAGGACTCTACAAGTGTAGCTTATCCCCCAGTGAATTGAAAAAAAATGATCTACTGTTTCAAAAGCAACAATTGCTATCACATTCTATAATGAGAAACAAGCAATTCCTTACTCTGCTCTGCTCTTTGTTTCTAAAAAGAACATTATGACTGCTGCCAAGAGGTCAAACTATACTTATCATGTATTCAGCGTTCCTTCTGAAATAAAACAGCTATTTCTACTCTAATGTACTACATTGCAGCTAACAACAATTCACCTGAAACCATTTTTTAGCAGCATATAATCTAGCAAAATATATATTCTAACAACATATGAGCATATTCAACATACAAAATAGGTGCCCATTTCTTTCTCCAAGTTCACTTGTTCCACTAATGACAGGTCCGTATCTGTTTTCAGAGAACGTGTGTGTTTCTTCATCTTCTTCACATGTCTCTTCTGGAGCCAGTAAGGAAGCAGGGATTCTGCAAACTGATTGAGGATCTGTGAAGTTATCAGCAAAGTGGCCAAGCTCTAAAAAACAAACAAAAAAAAAAAACAAACAAAAAAACCAATTAATAGACCTGCAATAAGTCTGTGATCGTTTCCAATTTTGTGTGTTCTATTAACACTGCAAGATGTTACATCACAACAAAAGCAGCCAGCATAATAAAACTAGCAATAGCAAGTGAGAAGGATAGCTGCTCTGGTTCCCATTCTTTGCAATGTGCTGAAAAGAACTAAATAGGTCTTCAGATAATTAACTATTTAGTGGGTCCTCGTATGTCTTGGAGACAGTACAGAAAGACCAATGAAAGCTAAACACTTAACAATACATCTTTTATCACTAACAGAGGTAAACAATGGACTTAAAAAATACATATTAAGTTTCTACAGTCAAAGGAATAATTACTTTTACTTGGTTTTCATGCATTTCATTTCAAGCAGTATTAACAACAGAAAACTGATTTAAAATACCAATGACAAATTACTGTTGTTTCTATTTATTTTCAATTTCTCACTGTAGTAATAAACTTAATACTCCTATCCTCAGGAGCTTCTCAATAAGAACTATAAAGAAAAACACTTTCTAGGATAAAGGAAGAGGAAATGAAAATTCCTCAGCCTCATCAGTGTGAGGGAGTAATCAATTTCTTTTTCTCATCTGCAAGGAGAAAAATGATCGCTCTACATTACTCTGTTATCATTCTGCAACTGTGCAAGATGAATTGAAATATGGAGCTGTATTCATAAGAAAAAAATAAACTTGACAACAACAATACACACATGTACATATTTAGAAAAACAACTGAAAAATTAGTGCTATTTCAAGCAATCCTTTATTTTCCTAGCTGCATCACTGTTTTTAGTGTTTGAGTAACTCACCTGTCTCAGAAGTTTCATATCAAACAGCACAAAAGCAATGTAGAAGAGAGATGCAAAACAATTCAAGAAGTTGAACTGCAAATGAAAATATTTGTTATTATGCAAGCAGAAATTCATGGCTTGAGCAAAAAATGCCAACTATCATCTGACGGTTACTCTGATTTCACAGGGATACAAACTGTCCATTAAATTAAATGTCTTTATCATCTTTAAAACTACACCAGAAAAAAATAATTCTGATCCTATTGATCCTACTCTTATTTCCATTACATTACCTCAATGCCTTCCTAAAGCACAATATACAACATGTTATACATTTAAACTATGAAATGTGAACACTTTAAACACCTGCCATCTTCTACTCATCTTCCACAATTTGGCATTGATCTTAGTTCAGGGTGATGACTTTTTTCAAATAAAAAATGTTGTCAAAATCTATTTGTTGGAAGATATTTCTTTAGATCTGTATAACTGATCCTCACTTGACATTAGCTTTACGTTTAACCAGCTCAGGAGGTTTTATGACCAAGAATAATATTCCCTACTACTAAAATGGGAAATAAGTCACAGTGTTGTACCTGAAAAATCATAATCGGGCACCACAGTAGAAGAGAACTTCTCTCAAGATTTACAGTACAGTCTCTTAAAACCAATACAAGCACTAGTCCCCTCCTATGCACTTCACAGTATGTATGTATGCACGCAAAAGCAACTTATTCAGAGGCCCGAGGTAAATATATCAGTATATGCTATGAGCCATACGCAAGCAGAATAATGGACAAGTATATCCAGTCTCCTCTGATCAGCTGGTTGAACTTAGTACAAATGCAAGTTAATGTGTGAACTTCTTAAAATACAGTTTACCATAAAATGTTGCAAAAGCCAGAAGGAATCATTCCCAGTTGAAGCCAGGACCACAACAACTAAGAGAAAAATATATATATATCCAGAGAATGTAACGACTACATTACACATCCAGAATCCTAATGAAAGAACAATCAACTCAAAAACAACAACTAAGCTGTGCAATATAAAATAAGGTATTTATACAGCCTAGCAGTCACTACAGACACAACAGAAATCCTGTTTAATCAAATTATTTGGCACTGAACAAAACTGAAAGTCAAAGCAGGAATGCTGGGAAAATACAAATAAAACACTGAACTTCCCTTTTAAAATAACCTTTTACTCCTCACGCTACCTACTTACCACTAAAACCTTCAGAATTAAATGATTCTGATATGAAGACTCCAGCCTGTGATTTTCTAAAAAAAAAAAAAAACACCAACAAAATTACTCATTAGTAAACAGCAGAAGCACACACAGTGTACTAAACACTGTTATACAAAACAGGAACATTTTTTCCACCTAGAAATCATTTTAGTAGTAGTGTATTAGGATTAGTCCCTCCAATAATTTACAGCAATAACAATTTGTACTGTACCACCACTTCTTCAGTAGCAGCAATGGCAATGCATAGACCCTGCAACTTCCCTGGTTGCCAGCCTCCATACCCAGATTTTTTCCTATGCTCTGCCAGTTCAGCTGCTAACGTCAGATCTTAGCTGAAATAAGTGAGGTGGGAGACAAACAGATGAACTCCTAATCTCTTTACTCTCTCATGAGAGTGCCCAGAAGAAAATATTTTGATAAGGATGTGAAATCTCAATTTTCATTATACATACAATATACACAAACATTATTGTAAGACAGTTTTGTTTATGTTTTTAGATTTTATTCTATTATCAGTTCCTCTATCCTCTGCAACGATGTATCAGTACACAAAGATATATTCATCAAACATGGAGCAAAGATGCCAGGACAGTCTCCTCTGCTGTCTACCTCTAATCTCCTACCCTGATGATCTCATCTCCTCCCTTGGGCAAGCAATATGGCTAATGTAGCCTAAGAAAGAACTAATTCAGAGAAGGGAGACTGGCATCAGAGAGAGGTTGAAGAGGAAGGCACGATTGTCCCTTCTGCTAGACTCAGACCAAACTAAACCAAACATGAAACTGCTATCTCGTAACACTCCGAATAAAAGAAAGAAGTGAAAATGGCCAGCTCTTTTATCTCACAGTAAAATAAGTCCTAAACATTTGTGATTCTAAATTATAATGTACAATTAAGAATAATAAATAGTTTTCTTACCCCACGATGTTAAGAATTCAGCAGCATACCTATAGATACGGTTCATAACTTCAATCACGACAGCATATATGATACTGGGCACATAGAGCATCAAGCTGCTGAAGGTGGACTTATTCTCCTCATGATAATCCAGAGCCCACTGTTCCAAGTCAAAGTAAATCATCATCACGTACAGCGAGAAGTAGAGGCAAAGGCACACAAACGGTACGGACACCAGATAAATGCGTAACTGTCTCTTAATACTGGAGTACACCGGTTCCTCCCTCCCAGTGACAGGATTGATACCCAAAGCACCATGGAAACCTGGCCTTGGTTCTTCAAACTGCCTCTTCATCAACAGTGTCCCCCAGCGGTACGTCATCACTGCGCAAATCCGCTTCCAAACTTCCAGGATCACAGTGGACCACAGCAGGTTGAATGTGGCAAACATTACGTATTTGTCATAATCCTCCCATGCAAACACATAGTAAGGGATTCCAATGACAGCCATCGGAATCAATGCAAACGTGAAATACTCTAAGAAGCCGAAGTAGAGAGCGATGGTTTCACCAAAGTAGGAGCGTATCTCATCTGCAGAGAAAAATGTCTCCATTAAGATACTCAATATACATATAAGCACAATAAATACCAAACTTGAACACAAATTAATCCCTTGCCCAAATTTATGTTTTCTGATCTGTTGTTTTTGTTTCTTTGCTTGTTTCTCCCTCTCCTACATTCCAAAACCAGAGGAGGTTATTTGCGTTATGTCATACAAATGCATACATATACTCAGATAGTAGGGAAGCCAAATACCTCAATACCAACAGTATCCAGAGCAGAAGAAAAACTAGTATTCTTAAAAACAGAATCTATAAAGGAACGGCTAGGGTGGCATATAAGGTTGTTTTTTTTTTTTATACCAAGTAAGTGACACTTGACTTCTAAAATTTCTCAGCAGCATATGTAGACATGGGAACCAAATTTGTTTCAGTTTGCACAGTGTTAAAAGATCTAGCTGTGCTTTGCCAGCCCTCACTGAACGAAAGGAGTAGACAGAAAAATATACTGAGTTCTTAAACACATCTAAAAACGCACAGAGGCTGAGACATTCCTTTCAGCAGAAAATCAATACACAAAACACACAATTGTGCTCACTGAGGTTGCCTGCTCAAGCGTTCTAGAAGTTTGGATAGTGCAGTCCTAATGGACACGTCAGATGCACGATCTCCATGGAAAACAAGATCTCGCTTAAATTACCAGTAACAAAAAGATCGTAGAGTGCTACCCATCATGATCTAGACATGCCATCACTTCTTAAGATTTAGAAATAACTAGCACACTGAGTTTAGAGTGCTAAAATCTGCTTTAATCTTTGCCTCCCTGGAAGACCAGGTCCTTTATAGTTGTATATCACCGCTACGTATTCACTCACGTAATAAAATATCACGGCCTGTGAACTGACATTGTACTTGTGTTCTGCATGAAAGACCAGTAGATCAAAAGCTTGTGTGCAATGCCAGAATACTGGTATAGCATGCAGTTTACAGAAAACTGCAGCAGAAATTCATAGCTGCCAATCAGATAAGCCTCTGAAAGCCAGAGGAAAAGGCAAACAAACAGAAAAATCAGTATGCCAAAATCTTTTTCAATTAATCAAGAACTTATTAATAAATGAGTTTTAGTATAGACCACTAGCATCATTTCACACTCCACGTGCACAACATAAAAGAGATCCCTAAATTAGTACATATATAGCAAGGTTAGCGGAATTTACTTTTAAACTTTTTGTGTATTTGATGTCATTCAAAAAGAACCTCTCCTGTATAAACAAGAGAAGAGTATAGAGTGGAATCTTCTAGTCTGGAGGCAGGAATTATTGAGCCAGATCCTTAACTTCTATAGCTCAAGGAAGAGTCTCAAGTAACCGCTGGACCAAGAGATTATTAAGCAGGCAAACTCTTATTTTTTTTCTTTTTCATATAAAGTTCACAGCGTTTCAGCAAATTCAAAATTTAACTCTCTCCACATTTGTCAGATTAAAACTTGATTTCATTTTGAACTTCCTCAGTGTATATAATCCACTCAGCTGAATCTAGCAACCAACAACTCACGCTTTTGAAAAGCATACAAATCAGTGCAGTTTTGTCAACCCCAGACACAGAGGAGCCTTCCTATCAAAAGTTAATTTGAAAATAAACAGTTTTGCCTTGGTCCACTACTGATTTGCTGATGCATAGGGACACTTCTGTTAAAAGGAGACTGCTGCTAAGATGGAACTGTGCAGACACTGAATCAGCAGACCAACTCACCATTTCATGTCCTGAACTCTGTCAGGGGGCTGCCCAGAAGAACAGTGGGTGAAATTTTAAAACTCAATATTACAAGAAATAGTCATGGGGTCTTTGAACTGCATGCTCCAGGGTGTTTGAACTGCTCTGCTTGGGCCAAAGGTCTAGATAGCACAGAACTTCTGCAGCCTCAAGAAAGAAAATCGTTATGAACTGAGAGACAGCAGCCTACAGATCCTCTCAGGCTCCTACTTCATCCCAGAAAAGTTGCAGTGCTAGTCATCATAGCAGAAGATGATTCTACAGGCACTTGAGAGTGAAGAAGAATTTGATGAAGTGACCTTGACTATGCATGTCAGCAAGTCCAGATAGGTTAGAGTCAAGAAACTATGTACAAAGTACCTTCTTGGCTCCAAGAGAAGTAACAGCAAGTCTAAGCGAACTTCAGTCCATGATAACTAACAAAGCATCTTGGGCAGAAAGGTAATATTAGACAAGGTGAACTGTAGTGGGAATCTGGGAAGGTGGCAAGGCAAACTCAGTGAAATGGGAATGTATCAAGGTAAACTATTAGTGAAACAGGGAGATTGCAAGGTGAATTCCAAGTGAAACAACTGACTTCTTGTTACAATACTTACTTTCCACACAGAAGAATCACTTTTATAGAGGCTAAATGATGGAGTAGTAGTTGGGAAGGAACTCTGGTCTTCTCACACCAACTGAAGAGAAAATTCCTCCAGAAGAAACCCTGCACTTTATGCGTAGCAGAACAAGTGTTCACATACCTAAAGGTTGATAGCCAATTTTGACTCGGCCATACCAGGTGTGTCGGAGCTTTTTCAATTCTTCTCTGTCATGGAGTGGGAAAATCTGAACTAGAATGCCATTGGTCAATAATCTTCTCACTAGAAGGAAAAAGAAGTACTAGTACTCTTGCCAAATACAAGAAAGTTGATATCAGCAAATAGGTTACATAATGTATTTACCAATCCTAAAGTTCCCTTGAATTTTCTTAGGTGACAAACAGTTACGGATAAAAACACGGTTATTAAAATGATATTGGGATTCTAGAAGAGAAACTGGCTCCTAAGAAACTGTAGCATCTCTATCAATACACTAGTTGAAGCTACCATAAAGATACTGCTCGGGGCATGCTCTATCCAACACTCGCAGGTCATAAATCCACTCTTGAAACAACAAACATATGTCATTCTACCAACATTCTTCACCCCAAAAAGAAGCAAGTAAACTTACTATCGATAAAATACTTATTCATGAACAGGAGCACATTTATCTCAATGGCTTCCTGTGGCCTTCCCCTGTAGATTTTGTTAAAAAAAACAGTTTGGCTGTAGGTTTGGGCATTTGCTTTTTTTTTTTTTTTAAAGCACAAATTATTTGGGTACCAACTAAAAATAATAGATAACATCAACTTACTTGAAAATTTATTCAACTAAAAAGAATGTAAAGCAAGAATTTCAGTCTCACAGGAAGACTCAGGATGCAATGATCCTACGGAAGTCATCTGGTCCAACCTCCTGCTCAAAGGAGGTCCAGCTTAATTCAAGCTGTGCGGGGTTTTGTCCAAGGTCACTAAGATCTAAATGTCTTCCAGGGCAGAATTCCCACAAACTAAGATTCTGTTCCAATACTTGATTTTTCTCACTGTAAAGAACATTTTCTTAATATCTACTTGGAATTTCCTTTGTTACACTTTACATTCATTGCCCCTTGTTTCATCATCATGAAAATCTGAGAAAACAAGATAAATTAGTAGTGTGATTTACATCTCAAGAGTTTATCTTAATTGCAGGAAAATTAAGGCTTTTTTTCCACCATGAAGACTGTCCTAAGTCAAGATGCTGAGACACAGACAACAAACTACCCTGCTTACCAATTGATTTTCCTGGATATAGCTTCGCCTGTGGATATCCAGGGATCATTTTTTCATCCCTAGCTCTCAAGTTTTCAAGCTCATGTTTGATGATATACTGACATTCCGACATCGTAAGGAAATTGTGATTATCATCTAAATAAAAAAAGAAGGTAGTAAGAAATCGTGCAGCATAATAAGACAACTGAGGCAGCAAAAAATTACCAAAAAAGACCAGTCCAACAAACATCTTTTAGCAAAATCTCCACTTATTAAAATGATCATCATAGGAAGAAGCTTTCTATAACGAGCACACATTTGCTACTGCATTTTTGACTACTTAAGTGAAATAAGAGAATGAATTCAAACACAAAGAATTACGAACTGCTGAAGACTGGGATAGTGTACCAGCAAATACTAGATACTGTTGACCTGCTGAAAGACTCTCAGTTAGGTTTCCACTATTTGCCAAGCTCAGAATCTCTATATCCATTTCTGCTATACAGTTCCCAAAGTATTTTTCAGAAAACTAAAAATGAATAAAACCATAGAATCATAGAATGGTTTGGGTTGGAAGGGACCTTTAAGATCATGTAGTTCCAGCCCCCTACTATAGGCAGGGACACTTTCCTCTAGACCAGGCTGCTCAAAGCTGCAGCCAGCATGGCCTTGAAAAATGCTTGCTAATTTTCAGGAAGCATTTCACATCAATTATCACAGCATATTTTCTTTACTGTTTATAGAACATAACGATAAACTATTTGAGACAACTAATTGTGATGAGAATACAAAAATAAGGTAACATAATATAAAACTTTTTCAAAAGAAATCCCCGTTTTTCAAGAGCTACGTTAACAATCCTATCCTAACAAAGCTCCAAGGGATAAACATGAAAGATTTAATAGCGAAACTGATTATAAATATACTCATAGCTTCGTAATGATAGAAGAAGTTTAATAACACTCACCTGCAAAGTCTTTGAAAGTTTTTCTACTGCTGTATGTGAAACTTCTCATTGAATTATCATTACATTCCTTCACCAAACCCACAGTTTCAGCTCCCAGCAACAGCCTTAAATGGGAAGCTCCAATTAGATAAATATTTTCATCTCCATCTTCTGTAACCAATGGTTTTATCAGTAGTTGTGCACCTTTGAAGTAATACAAGAAAAATAGGAACAGAATGCATAAAAATTATACCTAAAGAAAACTGTATCATACACCTATCATACTGGCCCTAGTCATCAGAAGCACTGAAGCTGTATCCTTACAACGATGAAGAATTAAGGTTTCAACAGCATATGGTGCTCAGAATTTTGCAGGGTTACCCTCTGCTGTAGTATTGCTTCTGTGGAAGCATCCACTGAAAATTAATTGTAAGAATGAGGACAGTCTGGATTTACTCCTGTAATGCTCACATCACATCAGCAATCATTGCTTCTGCAGTCCCATTAGTTTTAAGAATACTAGGCATCTGAAATAGGCCTCCAAGCAAGTCTGTAGTCACAGATCCAAAATCTGCAGAAAGCTTACTGACCATCAGATGTCAGATACAACAGTCATAAACAGTGCCTTTCCAAGAGAAAAGAAAAAATTCTAAAGAATTACAAAGCAAAGTTAAACTGACTTCAATTCTTGGAAGCATATTGGAACACCAAGAAATGAAATATTCTCTGTGTGAAAACATACAAGGTAGAAAAAAGATAATTAAAAGCCAACTTGAATTTATCAAGATTAATTTGCTTCCTGCTAACTCAGTTTTATTCTACAACATGAAGCCAAGGCTTGAAGGCAGAATAATAGATGTACCGCACCTTCATTTTGGTAATTATTTGATAAGATTTACAACTTTCTCTTAGTCAACATGAGAAACACACTCTAGAAGATGAACACAGGAAGTAACTAAGTTACTACAAATCTAAGTTGCATGAGTTTACTCCTCTTTCACAACTAAGATGGAAGGATTCTAAACTTCAGCAGTGACCTTACGTCACTACTCTCAAATGACACCAAGCAACTTCAAAACTGAAGAATGGAATGGGACTGGCTAAACAGTAATTACGTGAATGAATCACGTGAAAACTATTTTTTTGTCTGTCTTCATATTATGACAGCCAATCTATCACAAAGTTTTACAGAAGATCCTGTTACGCTCACCTCCATTGGCTTTTTTGTCCACTATTCTTTTAGTGAACCATTCTATGGTTTCCTTTTTTGTGCCTTTTGCAAGCTCAATTACTACCAGAGGCCTGAAGTTAGGCTCAAAAGTATCCAAGAAAGACCAGGTTTCCTTCATCTTTTAAGAACCTGTTAAGTATAAAAACAAAACAAAAATGACAGTATATCAGCATATATCTATATTTATATATAGATAAAAGATATGAATGTAAAGAATGTAAAATTTTACTACAGTGAGTTACACGCATCTGTCTTAGCAAAGTGGCAGATGACCATTTAAGTGGACCAACTGAAGAGAGTACTACAAAGCATTTGAATAACCCCTGACCGTCACCTAGCAAGATACTTTCAATCTTTTGGGCCACGTACATCTCACTATCCAAGTTTGGAAACTGTTTTTGCTATGTATAGCAAAGAACTGTTTTTTGAGAAAGAAAACAAATACATAAAAACAAAGTTTTAAGGAAGAACTCGCATAAAAGCTCCAGCTTGCAACTTCCTACAGCATAATAATCATCAGCAAATGAAAACACTGACAGAAGAGAACATTAGTCAAACAGCTATCTAAAGTAAATAAGCTTTTCCTGGTAAGAATGCAAACACATTATACGTTTATGGAGGTACTTTCTCAGCTAATCTTGTGAAGCTTTAACCAAGTATTCCAAGGAAACTTAAAGCACCTCTGGTAGGTGAGCAGGGCACTTCTCATACAGACAAGCAAATTATGCTCACAGCAATTAAAAGATTTGTTGAAAGTTATAAGCCAAGCATTCTGTGACAAAGTTCGGTCATAAAGTGCTAAGCATTAGCACAGACTATTCAAGTATAATATTAATCACCAAACTGAACTGTTCAGTCGACACTATGCCTTCAGTTCTTTATAGAAACAAATCTACAGTGATAATTACGTGATTTGGATTTACAGCTCTCAGCCTGAGCATGCAAACATTTAAAGAAAATGCATTAGACTAATAAAATACTTTTAAAAGATTTCTGATGCAAATCTGTACAAGCAGAATGAGTCAGACAAAGGGAAATGCAATCAGTGTCATAAGGCATTGCAATCGTGGTGCCAGCGATTCACTACGTCACCCTGACAAGTCATTCCACCTTACTGCTTCACTTTCCATTGTTGTTTTATGTACATTTATACATAAAGACAGTAACTGCCACACTGTGCATGCTTCAACACTGAGAGGCACCGGTACTCGGTGAACACTGCACACATCCCATCAGAGGAGCACTGCTGGATGTTCCAGCTGCAGCGGGGCCCGCACCAGCCAACTTCCAGCCATCCCTTCCAGCCTGAGCACGGCCTCTGCACTCACAGCACGCCTCTGGAAACTCGCTCCTACCGCTCATCCGCAATCCCCGCGGTCAGTGCAGTGTGCGAGCAGGACCGCTGTTAGATGTCACAGCCTGACTGCTTCTGAAACACAGAGGTGCACTGAAGCCCTCTTTAAACCTGTGCTTGCGAGGTCGATACCACAAACCCAGCTTGATTCGGCACATGCAAGACCCAGCACCGAGTCAGCGGGACATAACGAAGTAGTCAGCTTGAGTCAGTGCACACAGCCTCGCACAGACTCGGTCGGACCCCTACTCTCCCACTTTCGCACAGCGGGACTCACACAGAGCGGTAAGCCTGGCTAGCGGGATACGAGTTCTGCCCAGCCCACCGGGCCACCGTGCTGCAGCCGTGTGATGGCGGCCCAGCAGGCCGGCCCGCCCGCTTCCCTCAGCAGCCCTCTCCTTTCCAGGAGCAGCACGGCCTCAGCGCGCTGACAGACGCGACCCCTCCCGCGCAGCAGCCAAGAAGAAGCCGCCCCCAGCCCCGCCCGGACCCCCAGCCCGTTACTCTCCCCGCCCCGGGAGCCTCACGGGTTGGGCGGACGGGGGCAGGCTCCTCCCCCGCGACGGCGGCGGTAGCGGCGGCGCCGGCAGCACGGCCCACCACCCGATTTCCACTCACCGCCGGCTCGCGGCGCCACATCCGCAGGGTGGGGCGGGCTCCGGAAGGCGGGCTCCGCGCCTGGGCCGGCCCTCCTCCCCCCATTGGCGGAGGCGGTGCTGCCCGCTCTGTCCACGTGAACTCTCGCTTCAGCCTTCTGTCTTGCGCGCCTTTCGTACCCATGTTGTCTCCTGTCAGGCCAAGGCTTATATCTGGAGATCGAGCTTAAAAATCCTGCTCTTCGGCCTGATACAGAACTACAGAATCATTAAGGTTGAAAAAGACCTCCAGCATCATCTAGTCTGTCAGCCCACTGAGCACATCCCTCAGTGCCACATCCACACGGGTCTTGAGCACCTCCAGGGACGGTGACTGCACCACCTCCCTGGGCAGCCTGTGTCACTGCCTCACTGCTCTTTCTCAGAAGAAATTCTTCCTCATATCCAACCTGAACCTCTGCTGGTGCAACTTAAAGTTGTGCTGATAATTCCTTTTCAATGTGTCCATCTGTAGCAAAGAAGCACTAAGAAGCTGCACAAGAAGATTCCCTCGCAGCTTCATAATGGTTTATCAGGTAAAACGAGAGCAGTACAAACCAGCTGCCCACATGCTGACTCCATTTGTACCTATCCACGAGAAGGAGACTGCAGGTCAAAGCCCCTGGGTTCAGAGTTTATTCAGAGCCGATGTACAGACCAACAACATGTAACAGCTGCCAAGGGGTAAGCTTTATCCTTGCTCTAGCACCTGACTGTTATTCAGCATGCATTTTTCAGATATTTGGAAATGTATTTGCATTTAAAATGTTTAAATTTTAGAGAGGAGAATAGGGATTATACAAAATGTCAGTTTCTGGTACTGAATTTTTCTATTATAGCCTTGAAGCAGTAAGGAAGTAGGGCATCTGGGCAACCACAGATCTGTGAATACTTGAAATCCAGGTACTACATGCTGCACTGGGCAGTAACAGATAAAACCTGTAGTTCAGGCAGGATGTATTGGACTTTTCAAACTATCTCAGTCTAGTCTGGCTCCCAGTGGCCTAACTGTACAGTTTATTCACTGTTCAGTGTCTCTGACTGTGAAAACTCACCTCCTGCAAAGATAGTGTGAAGAAAACAGGGACGTACATTTAACAAAGGGGATTTTTAGACTCACTTTATACTTGAGTTTTGTTTGAAATCTGATTCCAGTGCATCACATCAGAATCTTCAAGTGTCTCTGTGGGATTTGGTCTCTGTCTTTTAGGAGCTGTATGGCTTTCTTGGCCTGACATCTGCCCTGACGCCTTCTTCACATTCAAGCTTCCAGAGTAACATTCCATTATCCAATTATTTTATCCCTATGCGTAGAGTCATTTAAAATCATTGTCGTTTCTTACAGCAAAGTTGTTGTTCCATTTGGTAGGGTCATTTAATGTCAGTATTCCAGCCGCATTTCTCAAATGCTGTGTATCCACTAGGTGTCACATTCTTGCTGTGCAATGAATTCTTACCAGTACACAACGAGCTTTCTAAAAGGTTTACATTTTGCTAACTGATGAAGGTTACCGCATTACCTCACGTTTGCAAAATGACAACAGAATTTGTAATCGTAGGGCGGGTGTGCCTACAGAGCAATGTGTATAAGTACACACTGCTGGCACAGTGGAAACAGTCTGACCACGATGGCAAAAGGTAAATTACTTGTAACAAGTATGTTCTGTTCCAGTGACTAGAGTGTTTTCATTAGGATTAGCTAATTAAAGATGGATCAGGTTTGCCCACCCTGAATTGCCAACTGCACTATAATTATAGCTAAGTATAATCCCAAGCTTGCATCCATCTGTTGCTGAAGTCCAGTCTTGTGATTGTTAGCTGCTTATAGCATTTTCATGGTCTGCCTCTGTCAGTCACAAAGCAGACTATAGCAACAGTATAACGGATGAGCCACAGAAAGGAGAAAAAAATACAAGAGAGACAAAACAGAATCCATCAACATTTCAAGACAGGAGCATATTTTTATTCCAAGGTTTATCCTCTTCCCCCTGGACTACTAGCTACCATGGTACTTAACTAAATTAACAGGCCATTCACTGGGAAATGAAATTCTCTTTTACACCTCACTGAAATCATGCTCACATTTGGAGTATAGTTCAATGACTAGCGGCATCCATCCAGCATCTCACTGCTACTGAAATGGTGAGATCTTATCCACATACCAACATTACAGTTCTCTTCTCTCTGTGCCCTCATTGCCAGTTCTAAGGTCCCATAATTACACCAACTCTGGCACTCATCAGATCCTTCTCTGGGTCCATTCAATTTGCCAGCTCCTATAAGTAGTTTTCTGTGTTTCGCTTTATTCCAATTTCATGATTTAAATTGGCTCAAAGGCTAGATAAGACCAAGAGCTGCCATAAGGTAAGCACTTTTCCATACATCAAACGTGATAATTCAAATACATATAGACATGGTACGACAACCACACTTGACACATAAATGAGATGAATATTTTCTCTCATTTGAAGTCACACAAAGGAATAACCATTTAAGATTCAACTTCACTTAGGGATATAAGCATTATAGAACAAGTAAGAAGCAATTAACAGCAACACATTCTTCCCAGTCACATGCTAATGACATACTGATTTCAGTGTAAAATGGATGGTGAGACGTCTGAAGTTTAGAGTTAACTGGTAATTACATTACATTTTTTGTAATTAAACTTACATATTTGTTACAGCAAGATTTGGTAACATTTTATCCACCTTCAATTGTTCTTTTTTGTTTTGTTTTTTTTTCCTGGTCAGATTACACAGGATTACATGGGATTTTTCCAACAGTGTGATAAATACTATTAAAATGTTTGTATTTTCCTGCAAATGGAGAGGAAAATATTTATCATGTCACATCTGGCACAATTTTTACATCCTGCCAGGAATTGCCACAAAAGTGTTCTCAGGCAGACCTAGCATTGTTGGCATCAAAGCATGAAAGCTTTGTTTCATAAACACTGACCAATATGATGCTGATCAACTGTAAACTGCAAGGCACAAGGAAGATAGAACTCTTCCATTTTCTGCTGGGTTGAGCTAATTAGAGATATCTAATTTTACTGACGGTCAAGAAAGAGCAGCAAACAAACAAACAAACAAACCCTGTCCTGCCAAACCACATGGAAATAGCATTAAAAAAAAGAAAATCTGCCTAAGCCTTAGAAGAGCTAAGAGAAACCGCTCTCAAATTATTACCCAGAGAAAGCTGGTAAAAAATCTACATTATATATACAAATCATTGTTTATATATGAATTGATGGGAAATGAATTAAATGACATCAAGATTCAAAGTTTATTCCACCTGGGCAGAACATATTTGGTGTATTTTTTAGGCCAGATGTGCCTCAGAGAAATCCTTGACTGATGAGCTGCTTTAGTGAGGAAAATTATGCTAACTTTTAACTAGGTTGCTAAATTATGAACGTAGCAAAAGAGCTTATCCAAGGTTTGGGAGAGGCAGGTTCAGGAAGTCAGTATTTAGTATTTAGCCTTTCCAGAGTAGCATTTGCCAAAAGTAACAAGGTGATAAATTTCCTTACAGTCCTACTCACAGGGCTCTGAATTATGAATGGTCCTGGGAGCACTGCAGAAGTTAATCATTTCAGTTGTCTTTCACCCTGTATGCCTGAATTCAGCTGCTTTTCAGCTGCTGAACAACTGCAGATTGAGGCTTTCAAGCAAACCAAAACCAGACAGCAGTAATATCATCAGCTGTTCCAGACTACATTAGCGGTGCACATGGTGATTTTTATTGTGCTTCATAAAATATTTCATATGTTCTTACAGACAGCCTCCTGAAAGAATCTGGCATATGCTACATCTTCACTATATCAGTCTGTGTTACTCTAACTTTTAAGTACTTGAAGCATAAGTTGGGAACTGGCCTTTCATGGAGCTCTTGATTGTGAAATGATGAGTTGTGTAAGCTTTTATAGCCAATACTTCAAATCGTCATAAACTGATTTCTCTGGGGAAATGCATTGGCTTATCCAGTTAGGCAAGGGCTGTAGCACTGGCATGCTGCTGTCAAAACAATCACAGATTTGACAGCTGTTCAACAGGTTTAAATCTAAAGACTCTGAGCTCCGTTTTCCTTTCGTACAGCATACACTGCTGCATTGTATGATGTATTTACAAGTCTGTTTATCATTTCTCTGCTTACATGCTGTCTGCTAGTATGACCTGTACATTTATTCACTTGACTGTTCTCACCGCTGCTTGGAAAATAGCAAAACTAGTTGAATCCATTAAAGTACAGATATCCTATTTCCATTCATTCCTATTTCTGAAGACCTAAGCTTGTCGTTATTACTGATGTCAGTCTATTTTACACACTATTTTTACACACTCAGAAACATAGCTTCCTCTTCATTTTCAGACAATCCCCATTGATGCCTACTGGCATTTACTCATCCAAGGTTCCAAAATCTAAATAAAAATCACAAGCCTTGAATAAATCACTCCCTACTTTAAAAAGCTGGACATTTTAGTCACCAAACTTTGCAAAGTTAACTCACAAACCATTGGAACTTGGCCCCTTAGGAATCATCAACACCATGAACAAAATACTGAACTCATGAAAAGAGTAATATTATCTGAAATGATCAGTGAAAGACTGCAGAACAATTACTGAAGTAATTCTAGCTGTTAAAGTGGATGAGTCAAAAGAGAAATTATTTTGCTTGTGATCTCTTCTTGCAGGGCTAGCAAGCAAAGTAGTATCAGAACAAGGAGGTGTGCATATGTTATTGTTAAAAGACTGCATGTGCTGATCTGCTTTTTGCATCTAGCTAGTTTCTTCCTAAATACAAAATCTGGTACAGTTTTTCACCATCTGAGTCCCATGTGGCCCAGTCATCAAACCTTCATAACTCGGGTTAATAAAGACACATGGTAAATTCTGCCAGGGGACACTAAGCACTTGGTGAAACTGAAAAAATGTTTAACCTGACCTGTCTGCTCTAGTCATACGTTTAGAAACATGGGAGATATTTCTTCCATAAATTCTACCTTACTGGAGATTAGAAATTTATC